CAGTGTTCAAGGGGTGTCCAGGTTGGATGGGGCTTGCAGCAACCTGGTCTTCTGAAGGTGTCCCTGCCTGTGGCAGGGGGTTGGAACTGGATGAGCTTTAAGTGCGCTCCTTCCTACCCAAACCATTCTGTGATTCTATGATTCTGCCAGTGCTCCTGGCACTGTAGAGCCCTCCGCACTGGTACTCCCGCAGCCTCAGTGCAGCATCTCAGCCATGCTCCTCCACTGCGGCCCGGCAAAGCAGGTTACAGCTGACGGACAGATCCCAGAACAGGAGATCACGGGGTGTGCCAGCTGCAAGGCAAATCCCATGACCAGTCAGAGAGACTTGACAGGTCTCTGGGACAGCAGGATCCCTGGCCAAAATTCCATACCTTCCATTGTGCTAGAGTCAGCTTTGATGAGCATAACAGCCCTGACTGGCTGGCGCATATCTGCCAGTGGCCCACAATACTTTTGTTGTTGCCTGAGCAGTGTCCTGCCCCACTCTGGTTAGTTAGCTTCTACTTGCATGCATTCCATAGGGAAGTGGATGTGAAATGGAGACTGCAGCATGAGAGTGAATGTTGCAGGCTAGTTTTGCAAGAGTATTCAAATTCTCAAAGATACTTACAGGCATTCACTTTCAAAAGTACGCAGAAAACTACATTTCCTGAAAATGAGAGTCTGCTTGGTGCTGCTCTATGTGTTGAGGCAATTCTCTGCTCCACTCAGACACTTTATAGATCTGGTTTCTCCCCCTCCTCTCCTCCTCTCCCCTTTATCTTCCTCACAGGGGGTTCAGGTTCATTACTTACTAACTGCCACAGAGAGCACTCATTTTTGGAAATGACCCCTTCCATGGGCTCTGCTGCATGTCTGACATGAGAGATGAGAGGAATGACAGCAAACCCCTCAGCAACAGTCAGCTCATCAGGCAGCATGCCTGTGGAGGCAGGACAAACCCCAGCAGCCCTGCCTCGCAAGCATTCACCTTTGGCTATCACATCATATGCCTTGAGGAGAGAGTGACAAACTTGAAAAATGGGCAAGAAAGATGCATCATTCACTACTGTTCCTCTCCAAGTCTTTTGCTGTCAGTGACCTGGAATCAGCAGATCCAAGGCCTGCCACATTACCAAGTGTCCTTAATTTGCATTGGCTCCCATCAAAGTGGTGATAAATGAGCATTCACCACAAATGAGCCCTCCCTTTCCAGCTCCCTCAGTGCTCACAAGTGACTCACATGAAGTAAGTCAGGCCTTCACATAGGGCAGCCTAACTACTGGCCTGCTTTACCTGCCCTGCTGGACTAATGGGCCTGGCCAGGAGTGACTTGTTAGGAAGATGAGAAGGTCCCCTTCCCTTTTCCCCATCTACTTTCACTGTCTGGCTTGATGAAAGGGAAGAGCCATAGTCTACATGCTTTCTTTCCTCCACCTGTCCCACAAAACCCCAGAATAACCCCCCATTGCTATTACAAGGGCAGACACACCTGTAGCATCTCAGATTTTGTCTATTATCAGACCAAATGTTTCATGCTGTCCTCTCTTTCAGGCCGAATGTAGCTGTGAGAGGACTTGGGGAGTCTGTAAAGGCAGCTGGAAAAGCAAGTGGAGAAGTAGGTTATATTCCTTTCAGGGATAAACAAAGATAAATGAGATGCTTTGAATTTTTGCATAGGGGTAGTTAAGCGGGAAGGCAACAAATGGAGTCTGACCTAAAGTTGCTCCAATAAAGCAAAGAGCAGACTTCAGATTTTAAACTAAATTGAGAATTTTCACACTAAACAGTGCCCCACTATTTAATGCTATGCTTATTTCGGGTAAGAATAATATAGTAGGCAGCATTTTTTCTGGGCAAGCTAGGCTTGTAAGCACACTAACAACTAGGAAAAGTTGTTCACTTAGGAATGAGTGCAGCTGGGAACTCATCCTGCCTTTACACTGATGATTTCTGAAGAGTTACAGGAATTCACCTGTGTGGAGGATAGAGGTGCAGCTCCCGTATACTGCGTTTCCTTCCTTCCTTCTAGTCAGGAACAAGTTATTCTGTTCTTCAGATGTAAGTCAAACTGCAGAACACTGTCTTCCATCCTGTTCTTTCTAACAGCAATCATAAAAATTCAACTAGCTTCAGCTGAAACAAAACAGGACTTAAATCAGGAAGCCCCGTTCTCGATGTACTGCGAAGCTACACATCATGGAGTAAAACACCATAGCCACTTAGGATGTGCAAGGAGCGTGGCACATATTACGAAGAAGAAGCTGTAGATGGGGATAAGACAACCAGAAGAATGGGTTCTCAGCTGGCATCATGTGTAGAAGAACGGCAATGGGAGCCAGCTGCCTGGACTGTGATCCTACATGCTGTAGGAACAGATTTACTTTATCTTCAGTGGAAGGAAAACCCATACCTTTTGGGCTGCTGGTAGCCCATCTTCCAGGGTTTTGACATGCAGGTTTTGTTAAGTAGGAAGCCTCATGTTCAGTGAAATATGGATGTTTGGATTATGGTGGACAGTTGCCTGCTGCAACATATAGTTTATAATAGGCACACCTATCACATTAAAGGGCTGCTCCCTGCTCTGGTTTATGATAGGCGTGCCTCGCTGGGATGAGGGTGAGTTATCAAAGTTGTCATTTGACAGAGTGAAGTCTGGGGGACACTTCTGTCTCCTTAAAACACCAACAGTTTGCTCCTGTGTGACCACTATTCATTAAAAGCTAGACTTAGGACTCCCATGTTTTTCTTTTGAGCGTTTTGGTCAACAACCAAAAGTTCATTTTGAAGCCGAAGGCAGGTCAGCCTGGTGGTCAGACCTACTCCCTAATACAAGGCTAATATAACCCACTCCTTTTTGAATTACTATGCCTGCTTCACAGACACAGGAATTACTGTCCTGCAATATGACCAAGGTCTACCCTGTTTTGGAGAACCCTTAGCAGAAAGGCTCCAGAGGAGAAGAGAGTTGGATTTACTAAGGACAGAGAAGGATCTCTAAGCCTATGATCCTCCCTGAAGCCCAGGGTAGGCTGAGACAACCCTGAAATTCAAACCGTCCCCTGATCCTCCCAAAGAAAGCCACTAGGATGCTATTTTATCTTAGAGCTTAAAAATAGCACATGGTACAAACAGTTGTTATATATATGCCTTTCATGAGGACACGGGATTTCCCTGCTGCTTTCCCCTTACAAGCTCTGGCCCTGGAAACGTACCTATACTCTCAAATTTGGGAGAATGGGGGCAGGCAGAAGCTGCAACCTTAAACCCATATGGATGGGGTGTGCTCCCTTCCACCGCCTGATACAAAGGGTGTTTCCTCCCTAAAGTGACCAGACATAAGAGACACACCTGTTTTTGTTTTAATTTAGTCACCACACTTGGATTTGCTTATCTAACTGGCCAACCTGCCACATATTTTCACAAGGTTTCGTAGCTCTGTAGCTCCCTCCGGTCAGAGGAGTGAACATATACACCCCTTGGGCACTTGGAGGACCTTGCTCTTCAACAGACAGGGGATGATCTTCCTCCCTCATGGATTAATTTACACGAAAAGTTGTAATGGTTTAAACCATGAATAGTCCTTGTGAGTGGTTGTTGTCACTGGACCAATACTGGATGGTCTCACCTACCTTATTTCTGGAAGAGTTTCATCCATGTGCACTACATGGTTTCACTCAGGGCAAATTGTGCCTGACAAATTTGGTGGCCTTCTGTGACAGGTGAATAACAGAAGAATGACTGACATTATCTACTTGGACTTGTGCAAAGCCTTTGACACTGACCCACATGACATGCTTGTCTCTAAACTGGAGGAACATGGATTTGACAGATGGACCACTCAGGGATCAGGGAACTGGCTGGATGATCACACTTGGAAAGCTGTGGTTAATGGCTTGATGTCCAAGTCCATAACTCATGTTCCTCAGAGGTCAGTATTGGGACTGGCGCTGTTCAACATCTTTGTCAGCGACATGGACAGTGGGATTGAGCACCCTCGTCAAGTTTGCTGATGACACCGAGCTGTGTGGTGTAGTTGACACGTGGGAGAGAAGGGTGAGTTTTAAGGTCCTTTCCAACCCAAACCATTCTATGATATGATACGATATATGATGTGTGTACAGGTATATATATATGACACATGCAAACAAGAATTCTTACTGGTGCTCTTTTATTTGAGTATTGCTTCTGCCTTGATCTTTGGCAGTGATATAGGTCCCATCCAACCCAAATGAGTCTTCGATTCTACAACTATGTACAGGCACATGAGCCCAGGACATGCTCTCCCCCACCAAACACAGTCCTTTCCCGCCCCACCTCACCCTCCCCAACTCATGGAGTTTCCTTCATCCCATCTGCCCTCATCCATGCTCAAACTTCTCTGTCTGTGAGAACCATTCTGGTCCTCAAAGGTGAGATGACAAACTTTCGCTGCCAGGAACTGGAATGTGCTGCTTGCTGGTCATCTCTGCGTGTCAGTGCTGTACAAATGCTAGTGCTGGGGTTGTTCCCCACTGCCTGGAGAAGGGACCTGCTTTTACAACCCCCCACAGACTGTACAGACTCCAAAGCTCTGCTGCAAAGACACCCTCCCAGCGCCCAGCCAAGCTCAGGCCCCATCAATGCCTGACAGTCCCATGTCTCCTCAAGCCCCTACCTCCCTCCGCCCAAACTCCTCTCCCTCCTTTTCCCACGTCCACGTCCCTTCTCTACTCCCCCTTAGGCTCTTCCCCTCACGCCCATCCCCCCCCAGCCATGACCTTTCGCCTCACTCCACTCCCCACCCCCCCATACCTCCTCAGCCCCCTCCCACCGGCCCGGCCCCGGCCCCTACCCGGTCCCGGCCCGCCCCACCCAGCGCCATGGCCCCTCCGCGCCGCACCCTACCCCGCTGCCCTGTCACTGCAGCACCGCCTCACTCCCGCCTGCCGCCCGCCCGGCCCTGCACCGCCCGCGCTCAGCGGGATTGGCAGACGGCGGGCGCGGCGCGACGCTATTGGCGGAGCGGCCGAGAGCCCGCCCACAGCGCTAGCAGGGTAGTGCGTTCGGCGTGAGGCCAGCGGCTGCTCTGTTCCCTCGTTCTCCTCCTCCCCTGGGCCCGCAGGGGAGAGTGACACTCACCAGGCGGCTCCGTCCCGGCGGCAGCCCCCCGCGTACCCCTGCGCCTCTGGTAAGGGCCGCCGGGGGGCTGCGGCTGCGGGGCTCCAGCTGGGGGGGGTGACGGGGAGAGGGGACACACCGCTCCGAGCGGGGCGCTCTCTGAGGGGATGGAGGAGCCGCCCGGCCCGGGGGCTCCGGCCTCGCCCTTGTGGGGGTCGCGGGCGGCCTGCGGGGCAGGGAGGGGCTCGAGGGGGCCGAACGGGCTGCTAGTGGGGGGAGGTGGCGGCACTCCGGAGCCCTTCGTGAGGGGCGCGGAGGGAGCCCGGCCACGGGGAGCCGGGTTGAGCGATTAGGGGCGGGCGGCGCGGGAGCGGGCTCGGCAGGGCCGCGGCGCGGTGGGTGACAGGGGAGTAGCGGGGCGGGCGGGAGGAGGGTCCCGGAGCATCCGGAGAGCATCTGCCTGGCGAAGTTTGCGCATGGGTCATCCCGGAGGAAGCGGGAGCTGCCGGGGAGTGTCTTTGTTGCAGTGCGGGAAGAGGCTGAGGTGATCATGGGAGGGCTGCTGCTCGCACAGCTTTGCTTTGGACTGAGCGAACTCCTGTAGAGATGAGTCGTCCCCCACCCCCCCATCCGAAAAGTCAGAAATGCGTTTTTTTGATTGAGGGCAACGGTTTGAACACGCACATCTCGTTGGGACTTCTGGAAACTTATAACGTGTTTTCCCTCTGTTTCCCCGCTATTCTCCTGGTTGGCCGCTCTCCTTCCCTGCTTTATAAGGATGGATGTGGCGTTGCATCAGGGATATTTGTGCCATAACTCGGGAGCACAGAAGGGATATAAGTCTTAGCGGAGCTACTGCTCGCCCGCCGCTTGTGCAATGGGTGTGGCGAGCGCAGTGGATGCGGCGGCAGCGAGGCCTGCGCGGCCGCGTTGCCCGTCACCGGCAGAGTCGAACAGGGAGCTATTTATATAGAGCGGGCCCGGTTTCAAGATGAGCAAACTTGTTTTAGAAAGAGCAGTTATAAGTATTAAACGTGTACCGAACACAAATTTAAGACTGCTGCTAATAAGTTTAAACTCAAGACAAATGAAATTTTTAGTTCTGAAGATGCTCTACTACTGAAAGCTCTTTCTAAGGGTATCTTGCTGTAGGTGGTAGGCTTCGTTGCAAGCTCTGCCCCTCTTAGAGGGATGTGTTAAGTGCATGATCTGTGAGCATGCTGAACCTGCATTTAGATGCTGCGATTTGTTTCATACTCTGTGGGGTTTTCAGGTGATTCTTGATAACTCTTACTTGTTTCTTCCTCTTATTTTTTTCTGTTGATGCTAGCATGGATATAACAAACTTTTTTTTTTTTTTTTTTAAACCCCAACAGAAGCCAAACCCAAAACAAACCTGGCACCCTGTTTTCAGTGAACCATGATCTTCCCAGCTTACAGTTTCAGCAGAGCATCTGAAAGGCTTCTTGACTAATCTGATAGCCATGTTGGTGCGCTCTCAGTGTTCCAGCCAGTGGAATAGCAAACTTGCTCGGTACCTCCTGTACTTTCTTTAAACAGGGCTCTATACACAACTTGGCTGTAGCTTCATTTTGGGAACTGACAGGACTGTGCTGGAGTTTTACAACTGTGAAGCTTTTTTCCTCTCTGCTAAGGCTTCATTATCCCACCTATTAATGGATGTTTTACTGGTATTATATATATGAGGTGCTGTTGCAGCTTGATGAACTTTTTGTTTACTTGAGAAAGACAAATAAATTGGGACTCAAAAATATTCACTGTAGCAATACAATTATGATAAAAGTGATACTGGCTGGACAGACCTCTGTGTAAAAATTGCTTAAGTTCTTTGTGCTGGTTTATTTTTCTATATGAGAAGTGGTGAAATTTCTTGTTGTTCTCTTGGGTACATTTTGGAGGATTCATGGACTCTTTATTTTTGATTTTTATTTCTTTTGCCTTTCTCTCATCAGGAGAGATGAGCTCTTTTTCAGTTTTAAAAAGAGCTCAACTGACTTGCTGTTGCAACAGCAGCAATATCCTGTGTCTTTTGTTTTCCTTGGTAGTAATTACATGTTGCTGACAAATAATAAGCTTGAAGGCAGAATAGTTGATCTTTTGTGAATGCAATTGTTGACTAAAACTGAAGGACGTGGATGTTATTAAATCTGTATTATATGTCTCTGCAGAAATGGCATCAGTGAAATACCAGATGATAGAAGAAGTGTTAGTGGTGTGAAAATCACAACCCTGCAGTTCAGCTAGAGCACGATGTTGCCATGGGTACAGTTTGTGGGTCACCCCCTCGTTCCCCCTGAGTCCTCAGATGATATTAGGAGAGGATTATCTTACTCTTGTCCTTAAAGAGCAAGTGGGAAGCCTGTTAGTAGTATACTTATGCCAGTGGATACTTGTTGGAGCTTTTAATATCTGACTTTATCAGATTGTTTCTTAAAAGGTAATGACTCTGTCAGTCAGTTTATGTGTTGGTGGCCAGTGATCCTTAGGACATTTCTGAGGAGTGTCGAACACCACGGCTCTTCCCTGGGAACTGCCCGACCTCACTCTTCTTGCAGGATATCTGGAGATCTGTTTTAACAAGTTGCCTAATTTGTCTGTGGGAAACTTTGAAGGTTATGAGTAGCGTGATGGTGTGGGTAAATGCTTTGCTTTAGCAGTTGCCCGCTGCTTAGTATGAGTTGGATGTGGGCAGTGTAGAGAGTAGAGTGAAGAGACCGTGAGGTGAATAATCACACAACAGGCTCTCATAAGCTGCTGAAACCATCTTGGACTTATTCTGGTGTCTGTGTGTGCCGTGCCTTACAGTACCGGTAAGTGCCATTTAAAGATGACAGTACTAATTCTGATGTACTTGGGTTTACAGTTCAGAGGTTTATTCATATTTGGCTTTAGTGTTTAGTGCCTCATTTGTTTCCTTTTCAGAGACACTAAACATTTAAGTCTAGGTTTTGAATACCAAGTTATTGCTTAAACTGTTCTTTTTATCATGTTCTTTCTATCATCTATCTTTTCATTGTGTTCATCTACTCCAACAATATAAACATAAGACAAACAGAAGCATGTTGGGTTTTTGAAGGGTCAATAGGTAAGGCTGTGTGGAAGGTGGGCCATGACTTGATTTCCAGTCTTGAGCTTGTTTTGTGGAGTCTGATGAATACTTGGTTTAAACAAATGAATTACGTATTCTTCCTGGTGTTTGTAAAAGGGCTGACACAGCCTTAATTTTAGCAAATGGAGCTATAATTATATTTGAGGTCCCAACCTCTGTAGTATTTTAGTGGTTACCCCTCTTCCCTGGAAATAAGTGAATCTGAGCCATTAAATTAGATTTGAATTTTTGAAGAGTTCAGGTCTAGTTTAGACCCATCACTGCTAGTAGCTTTTTCTTTTGCATGCTGTTGTTAAACTTACCTCGGGCTTACTAAACTGTTGATACCTCCAGCTAATAACTCCCTACTTAAAGTACATTTGTCTCTATGTACGTAGTGCTGATGTGCAGACTTCCAAATTCTGATGTATGTCAAAGTTATGACTAAGGGAAACCACTGGTCAGACTGGGTATAAGTCTCTCAAGATGAATTTGAGCTACTTGCAATTCAAAGTGATAATACTTAAAAGCCAAATAACATATAAGTATACCTTGGTTTGGTCCAGAAAAATGACAAATCATTTATTTGGCTAGTCCAGCCATAGATTGAAAGATAAAATTCCAGTCTCCTTCTCTGAGAATGAAGAGTTCAAGGCACGTTACTCATCATGTTGTTGCCAGTCTGATTATAGATGGCAAAATTATATTTTGTGAATGTGCTTCTGGAGTTTCAAAGGCAAATCTGAAGAAGCTAGTATTGCTCTGAAAGGCAGATAGTTATTTCTTGTATCTTCTTGTTTACACTTCCTGTCCCAGCTAAAATAGATCAATCTTTTGGTTAGTCAGATGTCTGTGTATATGGCTTCCTTGTGTCTTAACAGAGCAATTGAAGTGATTTTTTTCTTTGTGCCCTTTTTTTCTTGAACACAAATTAAATTATACTCGTCCATAGATCAGAGAAATGCAGGGATCTGTGGTTAAAGCAGATGGCAGAACAGCTCAAGTCTTTAGCCTCAGCAATCACCACTGCCAGCATCTGCTGCAGAGAGTTCACCTCTCAGAAGAAAGAGTAGATGTACTTTGGATCCAGTTCTTGAGGAGGTGGCGTAAAAGCTGGTGTGTTGAACAAAGTACAGCCTATGTGAATAATGTATACAGGAGGCTTGTGCAGTGGCAAGCCCATGTTTCCCTCATCGTGAATTTTGCCAGCCTCCTACAACTCGGAAGCCAATTTCATGACTTAGTATTTTGCACATGTAAAGGAATTTCTTGTGGGAAGAAAAGGTCACTGAAAGCAGTTGCTGTAGATGTTATGCACGTTTGAGCTTGGTGACAATAAAAATGAAAGAGTTGGCTGGCTGGCTCATACAAGTGCCCTGGCTTACTCTTGGGGAGACTTCTTAATAAAGCCTTATGTTAGAAATAATTAAATGCTCCATCCCTGGCAGTGTTCAAGGCCAGGTTGGACAGGGCTTTGAGCAACCTGGTGTGGTGTAAGGTGTCCCTGCCTATGGGGCTGAAACTGGATGAGCCTTAAGGTCCCTTCCAACCCAAACCATTCTATGATTTAATAAAAGATTGAAGTTATTTAAAATTACTGGGAATTCTAATCCCAGAGGATTATGGACACACATTAGGCTGGTGCTTACATTTATATTTGTACAGAGTATTTAAGCTCTGGCACTCTTTAAAAAATATATCAGGATAGTGCTAAGGGTTTGGTAGGGCTGGAAGGGGAAATCTGTTCCTGAACAAGATTAGCCTTGACTCCCCTGAATAAGTTGTTAAATTACGTGTGATGTCATACAAGCCCATATTTTGTAATGTTGGTGTGCAGGATAGCAGAACGTTTGCAGTTGTTGCTCTAGAAAATAGGGGAGATGCTGTATTAATGGGAAGTGTAAGTCTACTACCTAGATGAAAAATGGATGTCTGTGTAAATGATAGTCTACTCAAACTCC